ATACAATCAAATGTTCCTATTTTGAATTCATCATATTTTCATAAGTTTATGTGCCCACATTAACTACTGTCACAGTCAAAATATAGAATATTTCCATCACCTCATAATGTTTCTTTTGCCCCTTCCCAGTCAATCCCAATCCACATCCTGAACCTCACACTGAATTGAATTGTGTTCTCCCACTCTAGAGTACATTTGCCTTTTTTTTTTTTTTATTTTTGAGAGGGAGTCTTGCTCTGTCACCCATGCTGCAGTGCAGTGGCATGATCTTGGCTCGCTGCAACCTCTGTCTTCCGGGTTCAAGTGATTCTCATGCCCTGGCCTTCTGAGTAGTTGGGACTACGGACACCTGCCACCACACACAGTTAATTTTTGTAGTTTTAGTAGAGACGGGGTCTCACCATGTTGGCCAGGATGGATTTGATCTCTTGACCTCATGATCTGCCTGCCTTGGCCTCCTAAAGTCCTGGGATTACAGGCCTGAGCCACAGCACCTGGCCACGTTTGGCTCTTTTAAGAGTTTCATGTAAATAAAATCATACAGCATGTATTCTTTTTAGCCTTCCTTATTTTATTCAGCTTAATGTCTCTGAGATCCTTTCATGTTCTTGTGTGTATCAGCAGTTCATTCTTTTTACATTGCTCAGCAACATTCCAATGTATATATATACTAAAATGTGTTCATCCACTCATTTTTCATGGGCATTTGAATTGTTTCCAGTTATTAACTAATAAAAAATATTTGTGTACAAGTATTATGTGGAAATATGTACACATTAAATTCATAAGAAACTATCAACTGTTTTGCAAAATGATCGAACAATTTTAATACCCATTGGTGACATAGGATAGTTTTGGTTGTACCACATTCTAACACATTTTTTTGTCAGTCTCTTTAATTTTAGCTACTGTGATGGTGACTATTCCTCTGAAATCTTAACAAATGTTAGAATTTTATAATGGACATAGTTAAGTGTCCATCATATACATATTATCACTGGTGTAGTTTTTTTATTAAAATGTGGGCCATAATTCATAATGGGTTGAAACCAATATTTTCAAAAAGAAAAACAGAATGGAAAAAATATTTGAGTATATCACATGTAATAAGGCAAATATTCATAAAGGGAGTAAAATCATCCCTAAGAAGGTAAAAATTTGGTATGGGGCCGGGGAAGTAACTGAAATCTCATTTGGAGAGCCCAATGATTTTTGGCTCTCCAAAACCCAAGAAAATCATATTCCTTAATACTTAAATTCTATTTGGTATTATTGGCTATTACAGCATTGGCAATGAAACATACCTTAAGTGTTTGAAAATTTATGAGCTATGAAATTATGGTGACTAGATGGCTGTGACTGGAGGACTTTCTCTTGACTGATTGATTTCAAAGTCATATACTGAGTGGTATCTATGTGGGCCTATTGGCTGCCATTGGTTGCCTTGTGGATAATGCTTATGCTTGGTCCTTGGTGCTTTTGTGTGTGACTCGAGCTCTGAGAATCAAATAAGAATAATTTATATTTTATTATTAATTCTGCAAATGCTAGTCATATCATTATTATGTCAAATGATGAAAAAATCAACAATATCTAAATTGATATTTATCAGCTATATAAGTTAAAAGTTGTCTTATACTGAACAAAGTTAATAGTTAAGCTCTCTAAATATTTTTAAAGAAATTATTTTAAAAATGATTTTACTTTTGCTGGAAAAATAATGACTTTTTACAAATTATTATAATTGTATTATATATTCAGATCAATTACTACTTTGCATATATAATTTGATATGTTACAATTTATATAAGAAAATAGATTACTTTAAAAGTTTCTCAGCAAGTATGATTATAAATTTATATTAGCTGTTAAGACATTAAAAATTTTTAAATATTAACTTAAACATATTTTGTCATTTAACCCTATATTGAATAAAAAAGTACTTTATACTTCCTTTTTACATATAAAGCACAGAGATACATATAGTATGAAGAGGAAGAGAGTATATTTATGATACTAAAATTTTAGGGAGAAAGTGATTAGGAAAAAATTTTGTAAAAGGATCCTTGGAGTTGTGATAATGAGAAAGCTTAATGAGCAGCACTATAATTAAGGACAATATTTTTAAATGACAATTTGTTTTAATTTAATGTTTATACATAACTAATTATATATTAAGTTATCTGGTTGTCTAATTTAAAACTCTTTAATATTGATTTGTGTTTGTGTGTGTATGCGTGTGTATACACACATATACACAATACGTGTGTATACCACATACATCCTGATTTGGAATAAAAAATGTATTTCTTACTGTAGATAGTGGTTTCAAAAATACTGAAAACACATGGATGAGGAAATGAATCAGACCTGGATATTAATGGTAATAATAAATCTGCCCTTTAATGACTACCTTCTGGATACCAGATACTCTGCTAAGCATTGCGTAAGCATTCAATACTTCATTCGATCCTCTTTACATCTTTACAGTTTATATGTAAAGAAACAGAGTTTCAGAGACATAAAACACCCACCCAATCACAAAAAATGAATGAGTGGCAAATCTGAATTCAGAATCATATATGGCTTACTCTAAGATTCAGGCTCTTTTTGCTGTAGCTTCCTGTCTCTTCATGACCTCAAATAATGTATAGGATAGTAGTTACATGAATAAGTATTTATGAAAACATGGCAAATGCTATAAAATATATCCATACAAATCAGTTATTTTATTTAACAAGCACTAATGTACATTGCTTAGCCGGCAGCTTTGGAGTGTCATTTCCTCCTTCATCTGTAAAATAAGGCAAATGCTGCTGCTGACCTTCTAGATGAATTTTTTAAGGGTTAAAGCAGACATACAATGCAGGTAAAGGGCTGAGGGCACAGGAACAGCTCAAGCTTTTTTGCGTGTTGTTAGCTGAGTGCAGAGGATATAACTTCCTGGAAACACTCTCAAAATCCAGTTCCACATGCAACATTTGCAAACCCTGATAAAGCCATGTGAGGATGGGTTAATCCAGTAAGTGCTATGGGTATTCAAGAAGCAAAGGTGGCTGTGGTATTTGGAAAAGGCAAACGCAGGAGAAAGACCTTTACCTGAATTCTGAGAAATGGAAAGGGCTTTGGAAAGGCAGAAAAGAAGCTAGTGCCAGAATAGAAACAAGATACAGAGCAGGAAATGAGCTTGGCATTCCAGGAATTGGACTTGGTGAAACACAGACTGGGTGAATAATGGAAGACAAAACAAGAAAGCAAGGCTGACACCAGAAAAGAATGGTGAGAAATCTGTGCTCAGTTTTTGAGCAATTGAAAGTCACTGCTTCTGATGAGACAAAGGAAATGATGCCTTTTAAGCTTCATAAAACAGTGACATTATACAACAGGAGAAAGGCTTGATGCCTGAAAACTAGTATTAATATCACTGCATTAAATCAGAGATGCACAGAGGATGATACGGTAGTGATGGAAATGAAATATAACTTTAGTTTGGAACACATATCTCCCCCTTCTGCAAAATAATCAATCGTGTTTAGATGAGATAGAAGTAATGACAACTCTGTGATTTCAAGGCCTCAAAGAAAATAAGAATACACTGCCATGAATAATGTAGAAATAAAGGATTTAACAAGTCTTTCTCTTTGTACTTATACCTAACATAATTACAAACATAGCAATAGAAGATAGATTTAGATAAAATATTGTAAGTCAAAAATATGGTTAGATCTTCAAATATAATTTTGGAAGCCATGAGTATGGAGATAATGACTAAAGCTCTCAGAATGTATGAGTCGCTGAGGGTTTCTCCTCAGGACTGAGGAAGATGAACAGAACTCTCATGCCTGCAGGGATGAAACTGCACATATGGCAACCTTTTTAGTTCAGTGGTCTTTTTAGTTCACTAGTCTCTTGCTAGTATCAGCATAAATTTATTCACAAATGTAAGATCTTCTCTTTCTCACATAAAAGGGGACAGATCTCTGTCAGACACACTAGGATGTCCTCCAGGTTTCCCAAACTGTCCCTAGACAAACCAGGGATCCCCCTATCGGCCACACTAAGCAGAGCAGTACAAAGTGATTCAGTGGGGAAGACCATGGCCTGCATATTACATTTTCTGCTGAGTCTTTTAAAAATGCAAGATTTTCTTAAATTTTTTATAATATATATGTTTTTGAATCAATTTATGTAAAAATTTGCTATAAATGTTGGAGTTATGTAAATTTCATCCCTATGCACTAGTTATCCTGAGGAACAAAAGGTTGTATCCCTACTTTGGGGCAGAAACTTCTCAGGTCTTAGGTGGTAATACATATTAATTCGTTATCACCTATTCACAGGGTCAGAACACAATGCTCCATCTGAGTTCTTCTATATGATCACATGAAGTATATGCTGCCATCTGCCCCTCCAAAAAAAATAGGATGGAAGGGAAACCTGAATAACAAATGATGGTTTGAATGTCAATTTTAAATGATATTAAGAGAAATTTTTTCAAGTAATTAAGAACTATCTCACTATTCAAATCTTGCTGAAATAAGAAACATGGATATACATTTTTGTATTTGAGACTGAAGAAAGCAACTGAATGCTAATAGATATAAAATTATTTATATTTACTCTTTGTTTTGGGATAAAATCTTATCAAAGCTGAAATGTTTTGAGCTTTAATATGATTTATGAGTTAGCATACCTGATTTCATAAATGTTAATTAAGCTACCTCACTGATATTTTATGAACACTAGTAGAATGTGTTTTATTCTACAGACATACTTCTTTTATATTATGAATTACTTTGCCTATAAAATGGGCTTCCCACTGATTTGTAATTTTCAGTTTATTTTCAAGGTATACTACACAAAATTTTGTCTTTGTTTTGTATTGGAAGCAGAGTATATTATAGTAAATTTCATAAAGGTTATTTCAATAAACTTATGTTTACTTGAAAATAATCTAATATTAGTAGAGGATGCAAAAAATAGGTTTAATTCATACTCACTGTGGTAGTGTCGCTGGCAGGGAACGTCTAATAATGGAATGAACTTGTCTGTAAACATCCAGTTTAGACATGCATCGGCAGGAAGTGTGATTGGCAAAACTGACTGTTACTGGCTTGGGGCCTTGAGAGAGTGGCACTGTAATTTCAAATAACTACGAAGAAGGGACAAAAAGAAGAAAAAATTATATAGATGCTATAAAGCACTTTTATGGTAAATACTGGAGTCCAAAAAAGAGTGAGATTTGCTCTATATAAGTGGTGTCACAAAATGTATGCAGGACACTAAGCTTTATATGATTACAAAGTAAAAACTGTCTTGCTCCTAATCAGTATCTTTTATCAGAGTAATTACATACTCAATACGTTTATCTTATGTCACTAGTTATGAAGTGTATTAGAATTAGGATAACCAACTACTGATTACAGAGCAGAGACGTGACAGGCCAATGTGTTAAAAAAAAGAACTGTTTCAGAGTTATAGATACTTTGATACGAACATTTAAAATATTCCAGGGATTTAAAAAGCGTCACACACAGAAACATCTTTGTGATTTAAGAGCAAAACTATTGGCTGGACAACCCAGAAATTCTTGGTTATGTCTTACTTTAAATAAACTGAATACATAGATATAAATTACACAGATGTAAAGTTAATTTTCATTAAATTTCTACTTTGATGTAGTTTTACATTTCTCAGATCTCTTATAAACGGATTATGTTTAAAAGAAAAGAAAACACATTTATAATTTAATAGATAAAGCCACGTTTCTGCTATCTTGATAAAGGCATTATGAAAATAATAAGCTTAAAATAAGGTAGAGCATTTTACACAATTCTGAATTACCGTCAAGATTTAGTTTAACTGGTCTCCTGAATGCCTTATTTATGGTGAAGAACTTTATTTGTTCTCTTTCTTCTCCAAAAACAATATTTTAAATTAAATACACAAATACATCATTGATTAAATAAAACTAAGTAGATTTAAATTCCTAGGGTTCTTAAACTCTAAATTATTACCAGTAAAAAGATCAACTTGTAGTCATTCAACTATAATTGATCCACGTATTACTTGGTATCTTTATGACAATCTGAGCAGTGGTAAAAAAGATGACAAACTTCAAAGGCTTGTGACTTGGGCCTTGCTGAAATTTCACGCCATCAGCTGAAGACCATTGAAAATATTTATGGGATAGGATTAGTTGCCAATTTTGCCCACACAAACAAGGAGACTTTTTAAATGAATTCTGAATAATGAAATACAGAAATATCTAAATTATAAAATGCACATTGTCTTCATTCAAGATGTATTCCTTACATATACATTTAAAAATTTAGCTACTTTCTTAGGATAAGAACAATATATTTTAGAAGAAATAGGTACAGGGTTACACCCAGACAGGAGGTTTTTATTAGCTCTCCCATTCATAAGTAGCATAAATTTGGAAAATTCATCTAACTTCTTCAAGCTGTATTTTTGATAATCAGTAAACTGAGGATAACATTTGACTCATTATTCTTAGAATTGTTATAAAGATTATATAAGCTAAATGAATATATGTATATTATTTGCTATATAGATGTAAGTTATTATTATTTGTATAAATTATCAAGATTCCCAGTATTCTTCACAATATCACCTGTTCTGCATGGATAACTTCACCATATGACCTCAGCATATACCACTATTATGATTTTGAGCAGCTTCTTCTCTAAGAAGAAATTCGTTTATACAGGTTAGATGAAATATTTGATTAGGTGAAATATTGCAATGGCAGTAATTCTTTGCACTATATATACCTATTTTAAGAGAGAATTCTGCAGTGTCTTCATAAGCTACAATTTTTCGATCTCTTAAGACACCTATGGAATCTACATTAAGAACTGGCACTATAGAAAACATAAAGTGGTTTTTAAAAGAAGCAATTTTTAATAAATTTAAACAATTACTTATTTAATTTTTATATTGGTATAATTCATAATTTGCTTATTTAAGCCCTGTAATAATGTAGATGGTAGGAAGGTATACCTAAGAATTTATATCTAGTAGGCAGTCACATATATGTATCTAGAGCTTAGGAGAGCCACTGAAAACTCATTAATATTTAAGCTGTAATTGAAGTCTTGGACATTGATGAGATTACTTGATGAGCACTCTAAATGAAAAGAGAAAAATGTCTAAGAGTAGAAACCTGGGCACAGGAACATCTATGAGTTGGGAAGAACTAGTGAATATGTCTAGGAAGAAGCAGAACAATGATGGAGCATCAGGAGGGGAGACTGTCAGACCAAGGGGTGCCAGAGAAAGAGGGAGAGTTTCAAACAGGTGTGTGTGGTCACAGGGCCACATGTTTCTGCAAAATCAAATATAACAAGAATTGAGAGGAGATAACCAGCACCCGATGTGGTTCCAAGGGCTGTGGCAGGACAGGGGCTGTAGGAAGGAAGGAGCGTTGGGGATGGAGGGACAAGAAGAGGTGGTCCATGTGACTAGAGGGAAAGGGCTCCAGTGGCTCTGGTCAGCAGAAACATTTTTGCTTACACACACAGTGTTTGTAATCTGATGTGGTTTGGATGTATGTCTCCTCCAAATCTCATGTTGAAATGTGATTCCCAATGTTGGAGTGGAACTTGGTGAGAGATGAATGGGTTATGGGACCAGATCCCTCATGAATGGCTTAGCACCATCCTCTTGGTAAAGAGTGGGATTTTGCAGTTAGTTCATGCCAGAGATGGTTGTTTGAAGGAGTCTGGGACCTCTCCCTTCCCTCTCTTGCTTGCACTTTGGCCATGTGACACACATGGCCCCCTTCCAACAAGATTTCAAGCTTCCTGAGGCATCACCAGAAGCTGAGCAAGTGCCAGCACCATGCTTCCTGTACAGCCTACAGAAGAACCATAAGCCAATTAAATCTATTTTCTTTATAAATCGCCCAGTCTCAGATATTCCTTTATAGCAATTCAAAAACAAAGTAATAAGTAAGCACTTTTTTTTGTTTACAGACCCCTTTGTGAATTATATAGCTATATTTAATCCCTGTGTTTCTAAGAATGTCCATAAGCTTTTTTCCTAATTAGACAGTATATGCTTAGAAAATATATTTTTGAACTGAAAAAATAATAATTAGAAATACATTATAAACTCATATGTCCCCATCCCAAAATAAATACATATTGTTTTCAAATCACTGGCAACTTCATGACTCCCCTAAATATGTAAGAATAAACAAGAGCTTAGTCTTGAGATACACACTTTAATTAGAGTTGTGGATGTGCAATTTGCTATTTCTGTGACTTGGAAAAATTACCTAACTTCCCTAAGCCTCCATTTTATTATCTATAAAATGGGTAAAAATAATGGTGATTTCAGTGTAGTGTTTGGATTTCTCTTCCTCCTCTTCTTCCTCTTCTCCTTTATCATCATTCATATCAGCCAAGATTGAGTTAAATTTTTGTTGAAATATCTCAAATTTCTCAAGTATCAAATAGTTTACCATAAACACTGAAGTTTAATTTTGTATGCAGTTTGTTCTCTCCATTAAATAACGATCTGTACTAACACAGTACCTAGAATTTCTCTCAAAAGAGTTTAGATCTAGTCAAACATATCAATGTTGGAGACAGTAAGTAGATCGTTTTGTTTTAATAAAACATGAATCACAATACTATTGTCAGACTATTTGTGCTTTATTGTGTATATAATAGTATTTTCTGTTCTACATTTAAGTTTATAGAATGTAAAATTTATGTATTATGTCCAGCACTAGCTAATAAGTCCAAGTATGTATGTTTATTTAGTAAATACTGATTGATAATGTATTTAACTGATAATATAATCCATTATAATTTGATATTTTGAAATTATAATTTTTCTAAAATGGTTCCATACAATAAAGTGAATTGTTCTGGAACAATAAATAATATTAACTTCTGTCCAATGTAGGACACACAAAAAGTTGTAATAATACAATTCATCATGGAGACCGATATATACTTTAGGCATAAAATATCCATTGCCGGTTAAGGAGAAGATCAAAAGGACATATTAAAAAAAAGGCATTTAAGCAAGGTTGGAAACCGAAAAAAAAATCTGACTGTATATTCTTTAAAACTATAATAAACAAGAGGAAGTGGTAAGTGTTTCCAACTGAGAGGTTCCCAGCTATAATCTACTGGCATTCTTTAACAGGAATATTTAATAGTCAATTCTCACCAGAAAGAATGGACTTCAAATAAAGCCACATTTTGAAACAATAGATTGTTTATACCAGCATAGCAACGGCTGTAAAGCAACAATTCCTAATTTTACTTATCTTGCAGGCTAGTCAAGAAAAAGGTATAGAATTTCCTTACTGAGAAGATCTTGAGCTATAATTTAGTACCAAATTCTAAAGTAATGTTTGTGTGGATACAAACATGACACACAAAAATGCCTTCCTTTAAAACTCATTATATCTTAAATATAACCAGTTTCTCTTCAGAACAAATCTTTCTACCATATTTAATTTAAATTTAAATATTCTAAACTTCAGTCTATTAAGTACACCTATATGTATTCCCATGGAGAATCTGATTAATAACTGTAAAATCAGATTTTAAAACTACACAACATTTAAAGAAATAATCCCCAAAATGGGAAAAGGTCTTAGCATTTTGACTTAGGGTTGCAACCACATGGCCAGCTATAAAAGGTCTATGGAACTTAAATTGGGTTTGGGAAAGAATATGGAATAACAGATAGCCTAACAGATTTAAATCTGGTACTGAATTAATTTTAACATACTGTTATGCATAAAATGTATATACAGTACCCCAATTAAAATAAAAACCTGAATTCAAGAGTTTTAGAAATACTGAATAAAATATGTGAATCTCATTGTACCTTGGGTTGAAAAAAAAGTGGTATTTTTCATAGATGCATTCATTATGTTCTTAAGGCAAATGTTATTCTTAAAGAAACTTCTGATTACTGGCACTGGTATAGAGTTGTTTTTCCACACCAGGATAGAACCTCATTTCCAACAACTGTGCTTGCCAAATATTAACTTGCTAAAGACACAATGCAAATCATGTTTCACGTGCTGAGTACATAGAAATGTAATAAATTAATCTTCCAGACTGATGCAGTATTCTGTTTAATTAATGGAAGAAATAT